TTTATAAATTTAATTTTTAATCCAAAACACTAAACTAATTTCATTTACAAATATTTACCTCTTGTTGATTTTTCAAAGCAGATTGACTACTTGCACTTCCTTCTCTTGGTCTAGTAATAATTCCAGTTATTTTACTTCCTCTTTTTTTTAACCAATGAATACATAATTGTTCCATACATTCACGATTAATTTCTGAATACATCGCTAAATCTAAGGCTGAGAAGGGTTCTTTTGTAGTTGAGAGAATACGTGGATTGGCAAGATAGCGAAGTAAAAGTTGAACCATTTGACTTTCTCTTTATAAATTTTTTTCGAATTTTTTAATAAGTAATTAAATGTTCTTCGAATCCTTTAGGAAGTGAGGTCTTATAAAGGGAGTGGATGAGGGAATCGTATATCCGAATCCGATCTGGCTATTCATATTAAAAGAAAAAATTAACTTCAATATTCCCTCAAGCGGATTCTAGAGAATTGCAACTTCATAAAAATTATTTTAAATTATTTGATAAATAATTTAAAAAATTAATTACCCTGCAACGACTGCAAACATCAGTGCTGTCTTCAAATAATATTTTTATAAAAAAGTATTAATATAAAATAAAATACCATTCCCAAAACATTTTCTTGTGCATCAACAATTCCTCCTTTTCCAACTTTTAGAAGAATTTCTGCCTTTAAATTAATTAATTAAATTATAAAAATTATTTATTTTCAAAAATTTCTCTAAAGAAATTTTCAAAAAATATTTTCATTTGTGAATGTTAAAGTGGAAATCAAAAATAATTATTAGGACACGGATTTATATTGAAATAAAATCAGAAAATATGGCCATGAAATATTAAATAAAATAACAAAATGTGTATCAATAAGAATATCGAAAGCTAATTCAATTCTTGGGATTTTCTAGAGAAAAATATTTAACGGAAAATAAGATATTTCAATATAAATCTTCCCTCCCCCTCCCAATTATTACACAAAGTAATTGTCCAGAAACAGCTGCATACATTAAAGGAGTTAATCCATATTGTAAACAATTAGGGACTTCTCCATCTTTAATTAATTTAGTTAATTCTTGTTCATTCCCATTCTGAATAATTATTCTAATATCAACTTAAAATAAATTTAAATCTAAATTTAAATTTAAAGAAAACTTTTTTTGGGCGGTTCTTGTAATGTATTTTCTGTATAATTAAGTCTCATTAAAATTTCAGGTAATCTCAATAATTGGCCCATTCTAATAACATCTAATCCATCCAAACGTTTTATTTGATGCCAGATATGAGCATTTCTAAAAATTTAATAATTAAAAAAATATATTCTTAATTAAATTACTGTTGTTTAAGAAAACCACATATTTGAATGTCCATCTCAAAAAAAGCAACCTGAATTAATAATTAAGAATCAAAAAACGAATTTAAAAACCATGTAAGGGGTTGGCGCTATTTGATGCAATCGAACACTAGGTTTAGGATCTACAGCCACATTTAAACTTTTTAATGTTCGAACAACGGCTAAATGACGTCCAGCACAGGCTAATGCCATAGCTGACACACCAAGACCGCTAACAAATTTTTAAATAAAAATTTAAAAGGAAGAAAGAATATTTTATCTTTAACCTCAAGGAATGTGCATTAGCTCCATAATTAGCTAGTAGGGTTACAATATCCTGATGACCTTCTCGACAGGCGTGAAGGAAAGGTGTCTTTAAAAATAGATATATTTAAATAAAATTAATTAAAAAGTCTTGTAACTTTCATTTAAATATTTACCATTCCAGCATAATTAGCTCTTTCCAAACTAGCACCTTCTTTTATCAAGAATTCAACCTAATATTCAAAATAATCAAATAATTACTAAATAAATTAACAAGTCTTCGATGTCCTTTAGCTGCAGCGATTTGTAGAGCTTTTAAAAGCATTAATTTAATTTAAACAAAAAATAATTTTGTTTCTTAAAAATCAGAAGAAAAAATACCAGTAACTCCATCATCGTCTTCCTCATCAACATCAATTCCCCCATTTAAATATTTGGCAACCTCATTCAGATTTCCACGTTTACAACTTTCCAGCATATTCATTTTGTCTCGTTCCGATTCCTCAAACCAATCTGCGCCTTTTTTTCCACTCATTTTTTTAAATTTTTTTAAATAAAAAAGAAATATTATTTTTTAATTAGTCAATAATATTTTTAATTAAATAAATAAATATATACGTATATATTGATCAGTCATTAAAATGATTTATTAATTATTTTATCGATGATAGGCGAATTCTATTAATTGAATAATAATTTAATAAAATAAATATTTTTAAAATATTAAATGAAGGAGGGAGGATATTTTATTTTGTTAGTAAAAGATATAAAAATCTAGAGATTAAAATTAAAAATAAATTTCTCTTATAAAAACCAATTATTTTAAATTAAAAAAACTTTAATTAATATTTATTCCAATATTTTATAATTTAATATATGTATCATTTAAATTTATTTACCCAAAAATATTATTTAATTTTACTTTATAAAAGTATCATTTAATTAATTATTTCATCCCATTTACTTTCTTAATTTTCATTTACTCATATTCGAGGAGTAACAACTTCAGTAGTTGTTAAAAGATCTTGTAAAGTTACTCGATGCTTGTTATGATGATGACGATGACTTTTATGGTGTCCATGACGAGGACGGTTTGTGGAAGGCAAAGTTTTGTCAGTTAACTAGTATAATTAATTATTTTTTATTTACCCCTCAAGAATGTGAAAGTAAGAAAATAAAACAATTTAAATGTGTATAAATTATAAGAAATACCAAATTTGTGGTATTTTTCCTAATTTCTATGAGAATAAATAAATAAATTTGGATAAAGAAGAAAAATTATTTTGTTTAAAAAAATTTAGTTAATTTCTTTATAATTTAAAATTAAAATATTTAAATAAATACCTCATTTTCTTGTAATATAAGGCCTTCAATCTCAACGTAAAGCAATTGAAAAACAAAAATTGACAAAATAATTTTAGCTAGCATTCTTTAAAATTTAAAATAATTATTTTTAATTTTAACTGCTCTTCTCCTATTTTCTCGTGTGTATTTATTTACTTAAAAAGAATATAGAAAACTGTTGTTTAAATAAATTGCCAAAATTTAAAAAAAATTTTATTTTTAGAAATTTTTAAATTTAAATAAATAAAAATATTCATTTTAAAATAAAATTTAGCAAAAATCATCAAATATCTCCCCAAAATATATTTAAAAATTTCATTTAAAATTCACATGTTTTTAATTTTTTTATAGTTTATATTTTTAAGAATTTTTTTTAAATTAAATTTTATTTTTAGAATATAATAAAATTAATTTTTTAATTTTATCTAAAATTCAAATCGATATTAATTTTTGTTTAGAAATTTGGAAATTAAGCCCCCTAACAATTAATTGCCTAACAAATATTTTTTAAAATTAAATACTTCTAAAAATATACATTCTTTATTCTCTATCAATTAATTATTTAAATAAATTTTTAACGTAAAAACTAGGAACAGGCACTTTGTATTTTGTGAGTTTTTATGTCCAATTTTTAATTCATAGACAATATTAACTAATTTTAGAAGAAATTTTCAGATTACTGGAAAGATTAAAATAAAATAAAAATAAAAATATTTTTATTTAAAATTTTTTAAAAGAAGATTTGCCAAAGAACTGGTTCAAACCTTTTTTTCTAATTAATTCAAAAATAATTAATTGAAAGTTTTGTTAAATCAAATTGTTTTATTATCAAAAAAGAAAATGTTAAAACATATTTTTCAAGAAAAACCAGATGATATTTAGATTTTGTTTTGTTAAAAAACCCCTTTAATTACAAAATTAGTAGCCTTTTATAATTCAAAGTTTTATTTTTGTGTTTCTTTATAAAGAGTATTGACATTTATATCAATAGGTATATTAAAATTTTATTTAAAGATTGTTTTTTTATTATTAATTTAGAAATGCCAAGCAAATCTGTGTATTTAAAGAATAAAAATTAATTTTTATTAATTAAAATATATTTTTTTATTTTTTAATTAATTGAAAGAATATTTAAAAACCAAATTTGTTTAAACTCGAAACTCTTTAAATCACTAATACTTGGTATGTCCCAAACCTTTACAGACAAAAAAATTTTTTTATGAAATAAACATCTGCTTTAAATATAATATAAAATATTCTCATTTTATGTTAAATAAATAATTAAAATCTTTAGAAAAAATATTTGGTATTTAAATTTTTATTTTACTTAAAAATAATCAGCCGTTTAATGTTTTTTCATTTACATGATTTTTTGATAAAATTTATTTAGAAATTTTTTTAAGAAAATTAAATTAAATAATATTTTAATTTAATTTACATATTTTTTATGTCTTTTATATTTATCTTATTAAAGTACTATATTTATTTTGTGTTTTTGTGTTAATTATAATTTTTATTTATATCTTTTATCTGACTTTTTTTTGCATTTTTTTCAATACTACAAATGTTTTTAAAAAACTTAAAATTTATTCATTTCCTTATTCTCACGTATTAATTAATTTAGACAAAAAATTACCTTTTTTTCACTCTTTTAAAATACATATACCTATTTAGAATTATAAATTTTATTTTTAAATTTATTTTTAGAAATTTAAATCAAAATTTAAAATTATGGAAGCCTCAATAAATCAAACAAATATTTTATTAGATAATAATACTTTTCCAAATCATATGGTAAACAATTAAAATTAAAAATAAATTAAAACTGAGATAAAAAATTTTATTAGAATATTTTGGATTTCCAAAACGTAGGGGGATTCGGAAATTTGAATTCTTCAGATTTAATCCAATGGTAATCCAAGGAAGATGTAAAATTAAATTATCAAACTTTTCTATAAAAATTACTTTAAATTTTATTTATTTTTCTAAATTATTTTCAATTTTAGTTATATAAACAATATAAGAATTCCGGGATAAGTTCAGCACTAATTTTGCCTGCTGTAATGATGAATGTTGCTGGAATACCTGGAATTGCTGCAAATTTGCTTTTAATTTTTGTGACAATTCAAAACAAGTAAATGAAAAGATTAAAAATATTTTTAATTAAAAAATTACATTTTTAAGTAAATTGAGAGGGGCAGCTAATTATTTATTGGCTTTAACTGCTTTCTTTGAAATTCTCCATCAATCATCGCATTTCTTATTTTTGGTCATAACAGTTAGTGGCATCAATTTCATAAATTATTCCACAGCTTTACAATTCCAATTACATTCAATTTTTGGGGTAACAGCAGCACAGACATCTATGGCTTCAACAGCCGCTGACAGACTTTTATCTGTTCTGTTCCCATTAAAATATAATAAAATAAATATTCGTCTTTACCTCTCAATCCACACAATTTTGGCTTTTTCTAGTGGAATTTGGATGTCAATAAATGCTATTAACTTATCTAATAAATACCCAACACTTCCCGTTACTGGATATATTTCTGATTTGTTAGTTCTAGATATGGAAATAATGTTCCAATTTATTATGCTTCTATGCGGAATTAATGCTCTATTATATTTATTTGTTTGGATTGTTGTACGTTGGTTTCATTCAGGTAGAAAATAAATAAAATATTTTCTTTAATTTTTAAATTAAATTTTAGCAAACAATGATGGAGGTCTTTCATCAGATACTCAATCACGTCTTCTTAAATCCCTTATTTTAATTGTCTCTATCGTTATTGGTGGTTATGTAATTAATAGTATTTGTCGAATGATTATTAATCATTTCTTCAATTTAAATGATATACAAGTAGGAAAAAATTCTGGAAAAATAATTTAAAAAATATTTTTTAGATTTGGTCAGTTAATGTGTTTGGAGGAATTCTTTTAAATATTGGGGCTTCTGCAGAGACCCCCACACTTTATATTTTTAGTTCATTATATCGAGAAGCTATCAACAAACAATTAAAATTAATTTTTTGCAAAAAGAAGCAGCAGAAAAATGTAATTTCAGTCGTTCCCGGTCTATTTAATAATAGTGGAGGGCTTGTTAGGGATGAAGGATTTAATGGAAAAACAAAACAATTGACAAGCATAAATAAAGCAATTGTTTTAAATAAAAATAATTCCAGCATTTTTTTAAATAAATAATTAAATTTTTTTGAAATATTTGTAAATATGTATGTATAAATGTTGTACATATGTATTTTTAATTTAAATTAATTAAAAAAACATTTAATTTTATTCCACAAATTTATTTATGTAATTTTCACAGTTTATCAATTAAAAACATTTAATTTATATAAATAAAACCAAAAACTACAAATCTCTACAACTTTTAAGTTGAAAATTTTTTAAAATTAATTTTTAGTTATTCAAAATATATTTTATAATCATTTTGGTCTAAAAATTAAATTTTATTATAAATAACTTTTTACGATATTATCCTGTCATGCCACTATTAAATTGGATAAAATTGAAATAAAATTAAATATGTTTGTTTATTTCCAATCATTTTAATTTTATCAAATTTTAAAAATAAAATTTTTGAACAAAATAGAAAGTTCAATATTTTATTTTATTTAAGATATCATTTGACCACATACATAAAACTATAGTTGTATGTATGTGGTCAAATTTAATAGTTTTAAAATAAAATATTCAATTAAAAATATTCCTTTCTAGGAATTTGGAAAGTAAAAATAGATTATTGAGAATTGAAAAAAAGCAAAGATCTTTTGCTTAATCAACTGTAAAAAATTTGTTTCAAATAAAATATTAAGCAATTTCCTCACACCTTTTTGCTAATTTTTGTATTTGAAACAAAAAATTTTATTTTTTATTTTATTTCAAAGGTTTAATTATTATGTACTCATTTAAAGTTGTAAATATATACAAATTGTAAATTAAATTGGAAGCGGAATGAAAAGGGAAAAATAAAAATTAAAAAGGAAACTTTCTCTTCATTTAAATAAACATTCATTAAAGAATAATTATTATTTTATGTTTTTGGATAAACATTATTATTATTAACAATTCCTCCACCTCCTCCTCCACCATTTATTAATTGTTTTGTTTTTACTCCACTACAGTTAACAAAACCAGGAGCTGCCGAAATTTTATTTTTTTGGAATTTTTTGCATAAAAAACGTTTTAATTGTTTGTTGATTGCTTCTCGATAAATACTACTGAAAATTAATTTTAAAGAATAAATATGTATGTTAATTAACTACACTACAGTAATTAATTTACCTAAAAATATAAAGTATTGGAGTTTCAGCAGAAGCTCCAATATTTAAAAGAGTTCCACCAAACATTCCAATAGACCAATTCTAAATAATTATTTTTAAATTTTATTTTAATTCCTTCTTTTATTACTTGAATGTCATTAAGTTTAAAAAATTGATTAACAATTAATCTGTATATACTATTTATTACATATCCACCAATAACTATCGAAACAATTAAAATTAGAGATTTAAGAAGGCGTGATTGAGTATCTGATGGAATACCTCCACTGTTAGTTGCTTTAAGAAATAATTAATTTTTGATTGTTCTAAATAATTGTTTTTACATTTATGAGAGCAACGGATGACCATCCAAATAATTAAATAAATTACGGCATTTAATGCGCACAGAATCATGATAAATTTAAATATTATTTGCATGTCAAGAACAAATAAATCTCCAATCCTGCCGGTAACGGGAAGTGTTGGGTATTTATTTGATAAATTAATAGCATTTATTGACATCCAAATTCCACTAGAAAAAGCCAAAACTGTGTGGACAAGCAAATAAGGGCGAATATCTAGTTGATTATATTTAATTGGGAACAGAACAGATAAAAGTCTGTCGGCAGCTGTTGAAGCCATGGATGTCTGTGCTGCTGTTATCCCAAAAATTGAATGTAATTGGAATTTAATAGCTGTAGAATAATTAATGAAATTAATTCCGCTTATTGATATCGCTAGAAAAACAAGATGGCTTGATTGATGGAGAATTTCAAAGAAAGCAGTTATAGCCAATAAATAATTAGCTGCCCCTCTCAATTTACTTAAAATTTAATTTTTTAATTAAAAATATTTTTAAATATTTTTATTTACTTGTTTCTTATTGTTACAAAAATTAAAAGCATGTTTGATGCAATTCCAGGTATCCCAATAAAATTTAAAACCAATGCAGGAATAATTAATGCACTAGTTAAGCCTACATTTTTGTATTCTACAAAAAGCTGAAAATAATAAGAAATTAAAATTATTTGAATAGTATAAATAAATTATCAGATTTTTTAAATTTAAATCCTTAAGACTTATTACTAGAAAATTATTTAGGAGCTGTTTAGAAATTTAGATTTCCGAGGGTTTTTTTTCGAACCACCTCTGATCGGTTGAGCTCAACAAAGCAAAGTTATTGCCTGCTCACAACCCTACTATTTATTTCAATCCCCTTTATCAACTCGAGACTGAAACAAACAAAACTTTAATCAAAATAATTTTCAATTTTTTACCAGGTATATGTAAATAATTCGAATAAAGATTTGATTTAGATATTTGGTCGGTCTCTATTAAGCTAGAAGAGTACTTAGACGGCCTTAAAATAATTTTTTATCTATTTTCTGGATTTTAAAATTACTCATTTTTAAACAAAAATTAAAAACTACTCACCATATAATTTGGATAATTATTATTGGCTAGTATTTTTGTTTGATTGACTATTAAAGATTGCATAATCAAATTTAATAAAAAATTTAAAAATAATTTAAGCTTAAAAATAAAATATTTTTTAATACATACATATTTATTAATCATAATTTTCTTAAACTATTTAATACAAACTAACATAAACTATAAATAAAAAAAAAGAATTATTTAAATAATTCTTTTTTAAATGTCAATTAATTATTTTTAAAAAATAAATAAAATTATGAGAAAAGACAAAAATAAATATTAAATTAACAATAAATAAATTTATTTAAATTTAAAAAATTTTGAAACATTAAAGTTTTTTAGAATATCTAAATAAAGATTAAAAATATATCTACACACTATGTGAATTTTTAATTGAATAGAAATTAATTTTGGCTAATTCTAAAAATAAATTATTAATATTATAAAGTAAAATAAACTAAAGAAAACATTTCCAATTAAAAAAGACAAATAACATTTTCATTCTAGTAGAATGGCAATCTTTTTATTTTTCATGACTCCTCAAATTCTTCATTCTATCAAAAGTGCCATTTGGTTTATTCTAAATATTAGAATAAACACGATAGTTCTCAGTCCTAAACAGAACTGTATCGAAAATAAAAGGTTATCGAAATTTAAAATGAAAATGGAAAAAATACGAAATTATCGAAATCGAAAATCTTCAGAATAATTCGAAAATTGTTGATCAAATAATAACAGAAAATTTAAAATTCGACAAATATTTCTAAATAGATTTACAAATTTGTATATGACCAAATTTGTATTTATCTTCAAAAGAAATTAAAAATTCTTCTTAATTGCTACATACATATTATTGTTTATATTCCCAAATTTTAATACTTAAAAATAGGGATAATTCTTTATTTCCTATAATACGGCTACACGGGGCTGTTTTTTCAATAATCTTTCAGAATTGGTTGAATTAGAGAGGGGGCTCTAATTAAGGGTAGAGCTTTATTAGAGGAAATATTTGCATTATTTCTTCAATCTTTTTTTAATTTAAAATTTCAAAGAAAGTTATATTACCTACATAAATATTTTATTGTTTTGTTCTTAGAAAGACGCCTTAAATTGACGATATTTTTTAAGTCAGTTCATTTGTTTCATTGAAATTCCAATGTCTTTTTTTACATTTTTTTCTTTAAATGCAATTTATATGTTCGAAAATCGAAAAGCTTATAACAAATTATTTTCTTGTTGATATGTTTGTCTGGATAAAATTAAATTTTTAACTGAACAGAAAGTTAAGTGAAATTAATGATAATATCATCTACATCAGAGGTGTTTCGAAATTTCGATTTTCGTTTTTCGATTTTCGAGGTTTTTTTCCTTTCGATTTTCGATTTCCGATTTTCGAAATTTTGTGATATTTTCGATTTTCGATTTCCGAATTTTTGAAAAAATTTGAATTTTTGGCGCCAAAAATGAGGAATTCTGGCTTATCGGCCATCATAAATTTAAAAAATTTTCGCCTGCGGCGCAGAAAGAAGAAGATTTTTAGCTTAAGGATGCTCCAAAATTCTCAAAATTTCCGCCTGCGGCGCAGAAAAAAGAAGATTTTTGGCTTAAGGATGTTCCAAAATTCTCAAAATTTTCGCCTGCGGCGCTAATTGGAAGAAGCCCTGATCTAATAACAATATTATGCTTCGGCTCCGGTTATTGGGTATTTGCTTGAATTAAGTTAGCTCTAGTATATTGGAGGATTTGCGTGAATTAAGGTGGATTTGGAAGCTCCCTTCCCCATGCCAACCCTATGCCAGGTACCGCCCAACCATGAGTAAAGCGACCTAGTTCTGCTTTACTATATTAGGGGATTTTACTCAAATCCTCCATTATTCCTCTTAATACACACAGATCTCATGATGAGAGATCCACTCGAGACCTAACATAACAAAAATTAATTTCAAATTTTTTATTAAAAAAATTTTTTCGATTTTCGTTTTTCGATTTTCGATTTTCGAGGTTATTTTTCTTTCGATTTTCGATTTCGAAGATTTTAAAAATATTTTCGATTTTCGATTTCGATATTTTTGGATTTCTTTCGATTTTCGATTTCCGATTTTCGAAGATTTTTTTGTTTCGAAACACCTCTGATCTACATACAAAATTTAATTTTTTTTATTTTAGCCAAACTCAAAAGATTCTATTTTAAATATTAGCTACATTCTAATTCCATTTATCGTTTATTTATATGTACAAGTTACTCAAATTTGCCAAGGTTATTAGTTTTTATAATTTAGGTAAGTATATCTCCCCACATTTCTTTTATCCGCTTTTCTCCCAAAATTCCCTAAATGTTATGAATTCTATTACATAAAAATATCGTTAAATATTTTACTTTGATGAAAAAGCCAAAGCTTTTAACACCCACAATAATAGATTCGGGTATATTGCTATGGGTGTTAAACCATCCATAATTTTATTAGATAACTACTATGAATCAAAAAAATCTTTATAACTCTCGTTATTACTCATTTGAATTTTTTATCATTTTCGATGCAGCTCCAATTATTTTAATTAGATACAATTTAAGAATGAAAGATTAAAAGATACAAATTCATAAATTAATTACCTTAAACAATTTATTTTTTATTTTAAATTTAAACACTCCCATATTTTTCTATTTTTGAATAATTATTGTAGAAATAAACCTTAATAAATAAATATAATTTAATTTGGCCATACCTTTCCTTAACTTATTTAAATAAACAAAAATATAATAATATCTCGTACAATTAATTTTTATTCTCTAAATATTTTTAAAAAATATTTATTCGGTCACCGGATGGGAGAACTGCCTACTTGATATCTATATTAAAAGACAAGGTTGTTTCTGTAGATATTTAGTAAAATAATGTTTTTTAAATTCAGATTTTAATTCTCATAATTAATTAAAATACCCAAATTATTTGAAAAAAATTACAATTTTAAAAGTATAATTTTGTTGAGAATATTTTTGAAAAAATATTTTCTAATTTTTTAAATAAAATTTTTGTTTTTAGATTTATTTTTATAATTTTCAATTAAAATAACTATGCAAACTAATAATATTAACGAATATTCTTTTAATCAAACAAGCATTGAATATTTTCCAAATAAAATGGTAATTACCTATATTTTTTAATTAAATTCTGAATTAATATTTAATAAAAATTATAAAAAATCATTTTTCGTATATGGATCTTTAGTATATTAATTTATCTAAACACAATTTCATATTCCTGTATAAAAATCTCAAAATAATCTTTTAATTCTTTTTTAGTTGTATGAACAATATAAAAATGCTGGCCCAAGTTTAACATTAATTTTGCCGTCAGTGCTTTTAAATGTTGCTGGAGTTCCAGGAATTGTTGCAAATTTTATTTTAATTTTTGTAACAATTTTAAACAAGTTTATAGTTTTAAAGTTTTTATTATATTAATTTATTTAAGAAAATTGAGAGGGCCAACAAATTATTTATTGGCTTTAACTGCTTTTTTTGAAATTCTCCATCAATCTGCCCATTTTGTTTTTTTATTTGTTGCGGCCAGTGGAATTAATTTTATTAATTATTCTACAGCTTTACAGTTCGAATTACATACAATTTTTGGAGCAACAGCAGCACAGACAGCATTAGCTTCAACGGGTGTTGACAGACTTTTATCCGTTCTAATCCCATTAAAATACAATAAAATAAATATTCGTCTTTACCTTTCAATCCACACAATTTTGGTTTTTTCTAGTGGAATTTGGATGTCAATAAATGCTATTTTATTTGCAAATAAATACCCAACACTTCCAGTTACTGGACATATTGGGGATTTGTTTATTCTTGATATGGAGATAATGTTTAAATTTATAATGGTTATTTGTTCATTAAATACCATTAATTATATATTAATTTGGATATCTGTTCGTTGTTTACATTCAGGTAGAACAAATATGTAAAATTGTTAACAAAAGCATTTCCTACTTTTTAAATATTTTAATTTAGAAAATGTATCACAATCAGACACTCAATCACGCCTTCTAAAATCCCTAATCTTAATTATTTCTATTGTTATTGGTGGGTATATAATAAATAGTTTGTGTCATTTAATTATCAACCGATTTCTCAATTTCAATGATATTCAAGTAAAAGAAAAATTATTTTAAAAATATTTTTATTTAAATTTTTAGAATTGGTTAGTTAATGTGTTTGGAGGCTTTCTTTCAAATATTGGAGCTTCTGCTGAAACCCCAATACTTTATGTTTTTAGGTAAATTAATTAACATACATATTTATCTTTTAAAATTAATTTTTAGTAGTATTTATCGAGAAGCAATCAACAAACAATTAAAACAATTATTCTGCAAAAAATTCCAAAAAAATAAAATTTCGGCAGCTCCTGGTTTCGTTAACTGTAGTGGAGTAAAAACAAAACAATTAATAAATGCTGGAGGAGGTGGA